CAACAATGACAACAACAACAATGACAACAACAACAATGACAACAACAACAATGACAACAACAACATCACTTCATTATCGCGTAGCATAAACTTTTCAACATAGAAGCTTAGTTTGATTTATTGTCACTGAAACAAAACAAAAAGAACACCAACGCCAACACCAACACCAACACCACCATCACTAACAACAACGTAACTCAACAACAGCAACTACAGCAATTCACGATCGCGTATAAAATGGAAGCTTGATTTCATTTCAGTTCTCAAAAATTCACGTTACAATTTAAAAACACGAATAACTGAAAACAAAAACACCTGAACCGTGCATGACCATCACTGCCACTGACCACTACCACTACCACTACCACCAACACCAAAACAACTGAACAAAGTTAAAGACGTTTTTCGAATTTTAACAGGATAAATTATATTAAAAAAATTATCGATAACCAACTGCTCGGTGTAGTATTAGCGGTTCAACGCCGTATCAATCAATCCTAGATAATTGGACTTAATCTTCTCATGACCTAAGCTTAACTTCAAAATCAATTTTTTTTCAAACATCCCTACCGTTTTAAGCCTATTCTTTTTCAGCTTTTCCTCTCTTCCTCGGAAACCAAGATGGATCTTACGTACCCTGATTGACATACTGTTTGCCGAGCTTTTTGTTTGGTCTTACGTATCACGGCGCTCCTATCAAACGAACCACAGCTATATTTAGATGTTACAGATGTCTTTTCTCGCCGATACTTGAAATGTATTGAGGAAGTCTTACCAAAATGAATCATTAGGCATCTATCATACAGAGGTGATGGTTTTTTGAAATGTTTATTAAATCGTTAAGACACGAGGGAATTGTACGGCCGCGGGAACGCATGAAAATAAAGGCGTTGATTTATTAATGAAATCAGTAGACTTCCTTGATTGTCCGAGCACTTTCTTTTACTTTTCTATTCTTCTTTAATAAAGTTTGTTTTCTTTGGTATTCTTTATCACATTTTGATATTTTTTTTCAGTCTTTTCTCTTGCATTTTATTTTATTTTCTAATTATTATCTTTTTTTTCTTTTCTTTCTTCCTTTCTTCCCCACTTTTCAACCAGCTATTTTTTTCTCTTTCAAAATGACAAGGATAACGGCGATTTAAATGATTTATGATTTATATAGCGATTTATAAAATTCACTTTACATTGAATTGTGATTTTCAAATTGCTTTGGGCAATTTCAAATTCATTCTTTAGTTCTTTCCTATATTTCATAATAATGAACATTGCAAGAAAGTATAAAGAATTCAAAGATCGATCGTTTACCTTTATGCTCTATTCAGTATGCCCAATGAGTTGTTCCAAGATTGGCTTGATCTACAGATGCCTAACGTACTCTAGACTGGATTTTTGTGGGTAGTTTATCTGGGCTTGCCTGCTCAGTTTATAAACTAACTAAGGTTCAGATACGTCAACTGAACGAGGAATGTTCACTTAATTTTAGTACACTTTCTAAATCCTTTTCTCATCCCATCAAATTAAGATAAAATCACTTATATGAAGATTTGAATTGGTTGATGAGAAAATCGCGTTTAAAAGCACTAATCGAGCCTAATTGAAAACACTGATCTATTCTTCATCTTTATCTCTTAATTTCCTCTGTTTTGCTAACACCATAAAGGATTTTGTAGACTACTTGCTGGTTTTTAAAATGAATATGTCTGTCGTTGCCTGTTTTATTGAATTTTTGTTTTTATCTCCGAAAGTATAAAACAGTAGTAAATAAATAAATAGAAATAGTGGCACGACTGTTAGCGTTCTACTTTCTTGTTGCCTTCCAATTGCGTGGGTTTTATCAACTGATATATATGAACGATTATAAAACTATCTTTAATTGAATGAAAAGTACGCAAATTATAAAACAATCAAAGATGAGAACTTTTGTTTCCTCAAGCAAATATTTTTTCAATGAAATACCAAGTGGTCCTTAGATAATCGTCCTTTGAGGGCATTATGGGTCTTCGGTCTTCTGAAGTTGCTGTTAATTTTAGCTAAGTTTAATTTTATTATAATTAGTACCAAAAATGCATTTTTAAAGTTGGCCTAAAAATGTATTGGTTTTAACTTTCCAGAGTAATTAATTAGCAATTTATATTAGTTCTAACATGCCTTATTGTTGGGAAATCATTTAAAATCGCTTTCATTCAGTTATTCATTCATATATATAATTATATATATGTATTTGAATGAACGGTGTTAGACACTCATGGACTACCAAAAAAAAAAAAAAAAAAAAAAAAAAAAAAAATTGAAAATATATTTACTTGTAAAATCTAATAAATATATTATATTACACACTTATAAACACCGAATCCCCAACATATTCGGATATATAACATATAAATCGATTTGCTTAAACATCGATAAATAAACAAATCGATTTATATGGTATATATCCGATTGTGTTGGGGATTTGGTGTATATAAGTGTGTAATATAACATATTTATTAGATTTTACAAGTAAATATATATTCAATTTCGATTTTTTTGTTAGTCCATGAGTTTCTAAAAACCGCCAAAACAGAGATACAAAGAGTTCGTGAAAAGAGTTTCGTGCCTCGCGCTTTGTTTATTTATCGATATTACGTCACCCAATTTAACATTATTGAGTCAATTCCTTTGTTTTTACTTCAGTCGTAAGAGGCGAGTATCGGCTAGATTGTTCTAAATGTTTCCACTTTTTAAATCTCAAGTCGTGTGCTTATAATAGCAGGTTCACAAACTAAATGGAAGCGTATGTCAATTAATCCTATATTACTTAAATTCAGGAGTGTGGGTGGTTACTAAGATATATTTAATTAATATAAAATAAACGCTCGCGCACTTCTTTGTATTGATACAAACACACCGGGAGGTGTAGAGCAAGAGAGAAGCAATTGTAGAAACACGAGGCGTTGTCAAGTGTTTTTCCTGCACTGATCTCCAATGCTCTACAGCTTTCAGGGTGTTTATATAATATAACAGAGGCATACGTAGAGCCTTTGTATGTTGCTTTTATAAAATATTTTGAAGGTTTTTGCGCGAGCATGTTATCTGATATAACTGATATAAACGCTGGAGCCAGCCAATCAGCGCGCGCATCATATTTCAAATACTATTTCAACGGAAGAGTTTAAGGAGGAGAGTTTATTGTTTTATTAGTATTGAAGAGAAATCGCTACATTGATTCCTTATTAAATCGAAAGATTAAGGAAGAATCCCCACCGGCTCTTACTAATTTTTAATCCCTTATTCCCACCCCCTGCACGCTTCCGATAATTACGCGGGGAAAAAGCAAAAAGAAAGATCGGAAAGAAACTCAAACTATATCCGAAATGTACTTCACTCTCGCTCTCTTGAATATTTAAGAGGAAAATGTTTTCGATAATGAACAATAATGGCAAAAAACGCCAAAAACTAGACTTTCGTATGAGTTTTGATCCCAATTTTCGTTTTGGGTTAATCTATCAGTTTTCTTTGTAATTACAGAGTGGGACAATCACGAACGGAACCCTCAGATCCATGCTAGGTGAATGCCCAAGATCGAATTGGAATTTAGTAGTTGGTTTTTGCGTAGGGAGGAAAACCGGAGAACCCGGAAAACCCTCGAAGCACAGGAGAGAACCAACAAACAACTCAACTCACATACAACACCGAGCTCGTAGGGACTCGAACCCGGGTCGCATTGGTGAGAGGTGAGCACTCTCACCGCTACGCCACCCGTGCTTCCAAAACCTCAAAACCTTTTTTAAACAGTTAGAAACTGATGTACTATGATAAAATGCCTGTTTGAAGCGATATTTTCAATTGTACTGAAAGATGTTTTGTTGCATTTGTGTTAGAATGTTGCTTTGTCAGACTTTTTTATAGAAAATATATGGTAAATAAGCAAATGAAGGCCTAAACCTCATTTTCGGATAAAACTTTTGCTTTGGGTTAACACTTTGATTCCACTTTCATCGGTCATCTCCACTTCCAAACAAGTTGAACTTTCTCAATAACAAGATTTTAGCCTTGTACAACAGCCAGCTTTCTTCAAGAAAATACGGTTTTTGGCGCTCACTGCTTGAATACGAAAAGAATTCTCTTTTAATGATAAATACAATCAGTTATTAATTTGTTAAAATAGGTGCGTTTTGGAGAGACCGGTAGCAAACTTGTTCCGCATACGATTTAAGAACGAAGCAGGAAACTCAAATCAATAATACGAGTTCAAAAACTTTCAAGTTTCTTACAAGACTTTTTTAAAGAAATTATCTTTGAAGGTAATTAAATAAAGAGTGGCTCTTGATCTTTAACCACTGAATACTACTGAATTTTTTTGAATTTAAAAGTTGATTTTTGCCGGAGAGAATGAAAACCGTATACCGAAACAAAAGCATGGAGAA